TGATGACACCATATGGTTTCAGCAAGACGGTGCACCTCCGCACTATGCGCGCCCTGTTCGAGATTTTCTGGATAATTGTTTTCCTAGGAGGTGGATCGGCAGATGTGAACCGATGGAATGGCCCGCGAGATCCCCAGATCTTACACCCCTGGACTATTTCTTATGGGGCTACTTAAAGTCCAAAGTGGTTAATAGACCACACAATTTAGAAGAACTCCAAAATTGTATTATAGATGAAATACACAGAGTTACCCCAGAAATAATTCATAATGCGCAAGAAGAATTTCTACACAGACTTGCGTATTGTCAAGAAGTCGGTGGGTGGCAATTCGAACACTTAATTTAGGTAGAAAACGTAATGAATTGTATTTGCTTGACATAGGAATTGTAATTTTTTTAATGAATAAAATTTACGTTTTCCAACATTCAATCGTCATTTACTCGAAAACTTTCCTATGTAAGATGGCAACATTTTAATACTGTCGTATCGACAATGAAACCATCTTTCAGAATCAAGAAAAAAAATAGGGGGTCGCTATTTAAAAAAAATGTCGATGACGTCATCACTCGAAAACAAATGACGGTTGAAAATCACATTTTATGCTAAAATATGTATTTTTTAAATTAAAAATCGACCTGTTCGAGGATTTTTCCCAAAAAAAAATTTGTTTTGTTTTTACTGAATTTATTTCATACTTTAGGCGCGTACTCTTTTGGTAGTTTCTTCTTGCTATGGAGAGAAAAAATAATGAAACTTTTCAGGAAGAAATTAGCGACGAAGATATCCTAGCTCGTCTTACGCAATGCTGCGTCGGCAACCAGCAGTGGACGGTTTTGATGCTCGGCGGGGGACACTTCGCCGGGGCCGTTTTTCAAGGCAGCGAACCGATCTTACACAAGACTTTTCACTGTTACACTGTCAGGGCCGGGCAGGGGGGTTCCCAGTCATCGAGGGACAGTAAATCGGGAGGACCACAGCCTAAGAGCGCCGGAGCGTCGCTTAGGCGCTATAACGAGCAGTCTTTAGTCCAGGTATATCCGTTTCGTCAATTTTGCTGTCTGCGGCAGTATCGTTGGAATTTTTTAGCACGTAAAAGCCATCGTGGACACCTGGAGGTCAGAGATAGACAAGAGTTCCCTTATAATATATCGAGCGTCAGGCCCATACAACCGTTCAGTGCTTTTCGGAGGTTCCGTTCCCCTATTGGAGCGTTCCGACAAGAGGTTGAGGACTATTCCGTTTTCGACCAGAAGGGCCACCTTCGCAGAAGTCAAGAGGGTACAAACCGTGTTGGCAACCGTCGAAGTTTACAGTAAGTCGTTTAAAGTAATTTGTGTTAATTATTTACTTGCGTTTGTTCCTCAGAGAATTTGCAGGAAGCAACGCAGTACTTTTCCAAGCAGAAATCGCCCGAAGCCGACTCGAAAAGAAACAAAATTCGATCGGCTTGTATAAACAGGGCGAAATCACGGGAAACCGTCGAAAGACCCCTGCCGGGGGTGCTTTCCGGGGCCAGTAGTGCTGAATCCGGATTAGAACGAGTGGGAAAACCCGACGAACCATTGGAACTACATCTAACGTTTAGCAATGAAGAAATAGACGTTAACGAATCCCTTCAGGAATTTGGAGATTCCTTAACTCCGGAACAACGGAAGAAAATGCCGAAGAAGAAACAGCCGAGGAAAAGTAAAACGAAGAAGTTGAAGGAGAAAGAAGAAGCGAAAAGAAAGGACCTGGCAGAAACCCTGTTTAGAGGCGATCTAGGAAAACTAAGAAAACTCCTGGAAAATCATCTAAAAACGTCCGAAGAAGGTGAAACGGCGAAAGAAAACGGCAAACATTCCTTCGTAAACGAGGTGCTGGACGAGTCCGGTAACGCCCTGCTCCACATCGCTGCCCTCAACGAACACGAGGCTATCGTGAAGTTCCTACTAGACAATGACGCCGATCCGTGCCTGAAGAATAGAAACCAGCAAACCGCGTACAGCTGCACGCAGAGCAGAGAAATAAGGGAGGCGTTGAAGCAGTTCGCCAGGGACAACCCCGACAAGTACAATTATAATAAGGTAAGCGTTCCGGTGGGGGAAATCTCAATTAACGGAACACTTTCAGGCACAAATACCAACCAACGCTCTCACGGCGGAGGAGACGGCAGAGAAGAGGAAGACGCAAAGGAAGGTGAAGAAGGAGAAAGAGAAGGAGAAAAAGAAGGAGAACTTGGTTAAGCGGAAGGAGGACGAAGAGAAGGACAGGTTTCTGCACTTGAGCGACAGAGAAAAGGTAAGGTTAATGTTAGTTGTAACTAAAGCGCAAAATTTGCAAGTGATGTCGGTAATTTGCGCTAGCAAATTTAAAAACAATTGAAATTGATCTTTATAAACCACATATATCAAATATTTCACACACTCATCGAATACAAAAATTAGGTCATATAATAAAAATACCCAGTACAGCAGCTGTAAGAGTTTTCTTTTCTCTTTCTCGTTTGTGTATCTTACCAACTAAATGAAATTTGTTGTACTGTACATTGAATATTTTACATACTAACCATAAAAATTAGATTATTTATTGAAATTACCCCAATAAAATTGTTTCCCAAACACATTTTTTTACATTCTCCATTAGAGGAAATCAGGAAAACATAAATTTATTAATTTGACAGTCATTGCTCAAATAATGGTATATTATATATTTTACCTACGACCACTACTGTAAATACTTAAAAACACACCGTCTGCGATCAATGTAAGATTCCTATTACGTACGGTAAAAATATCGCACAGTTTTCGTAGCAACCGCCTAGCAACGGTCAATACAATACTGTTTTTTTACCGTACGACGTAATAGGAATCTTGCATTGATCGCAGACGGTGTGTTTTTTTATATTTAAAGTAGTGGTCGTAGGTAAAGTATAGTACGTAATACGTGGTGTAATGCAATTACGCACTCGCCGCTACGCGGCGTTGTTCGTAACTTTTCCATTCGTGCGTAAAATGCTTTTTACAACACTTATTACGTAATATACTATTAATTCCTTTAGATGTCACGACTTATACTAGTCCAGTATACAACGATAAAAATAGGGTATTACTTCCGAATTCTTGACACATGCACCGATTTTCATAAAAATTGGTGAGTAAGCTCATTTCACCCTCCTTTACAAAAGTTACATATCAATAATGTGTGCTTATTGTCTTTAGGTGATGAAAACTAACCCTTCTTGCAAAAAAACGTAAAAACCATTGATTTCAGTGTTATGTGAATAGAATAAGCATTCTTTTATGTTTTAAATAATAATTTTTGATTTCTAGCAACATTTCAACCCTTAAAATCCACCCTTTATGGGGAAAAAAATCAAAAATTCGTTTTCGCAGCTCTGAAATGTTTTTACTGTTTATGAAATAATACATGATTTATTGCAACATTTCAACCCTTAAAAAGCACCCTTATTGCTGAAAATAAAGCAAAAAATTTTTTTTCACATCTTCATAGCATTTATAATGAATGAAAGACTCATCACTGTTTATAATATTACTGATTATTCATTGCAATGTTACAACCCTTAAAAACAACCCTTAATGAGGAATTGAAGAATTTTTACCTGCTTCAAAACACTCAATGATACATTACTAAATTCAACGAGATTACTTAAAACTCGAAACTTAAATTGTGTAATTAGTGAAAAATTATTTGTGTATTACACAATTATACTTTATTATCAAAAATTTGCAAATCATTAAATTGTGATTGGAGGACAATTTTGGCAACTGTTCCCAGAACATGTTCGGAAATTAAGCCATTTACACGATCCGACAATTTTCAGTGAATAATACAATTCGTTTTTTCACAATAACTTTTTTAATTTTTAATATTTTTCATCGCTACAAAAAGCAATTTGCAGGGAATTGTAAGAGCTACAAATCAACCTTTATAGTTGAAGGGTCTTGAATTTCAAATGCAAACTAAAAAATGTTAATTTCAGTTAATTTTTGCTCTACAGAAAAATTGAAAAAAAAAAATATAAAAAAGACCTTTAATTTTGAATTCTGGCATTTTTTACGTATCTTGTTTAGTTTTGAGTTATTTCGAAAAAAAGGAAATGTTTTAAAAAATAAAAAATTTTTTCCATAATTTCAAACTTCTTTTTAAATTTGGGCATTCTCAACCAGTCAAACTTGCAGAGTCTATTATTAGTACCTAAATAAAGTCAACAGTACATGGATTACGCTTAGTTTCTATTTTTATGGTTCAGCCATAGATTTTATTGTTGATTTTTTCTCCGAAAAAATGAGATGACCATCTTATTTTCATCATAACTCCGCGAGTTTTTAAGCTATGAAATTTTTTCAAAAAGCATTTTAAAGGTGTTTCCAAGCACTTTAAAAAAGGTTATATTCATTTTCTTCAAAAAATTTGTTCTTTGGCCATTATTTTACGGTAAAATGTTCGATTTTACTTTTTGAAAAATAAACACTTTAGAGAGAGATATTACATCTACGGTAATCAACAAAAAATGAATCGATTCGTTATTTCAAAAGCTCTACTTTTTGCTGCATATGGGTTTTTCGATAAAACGCAAGGTTTTCCAGTTATTTATCAAAAATGGTTGAAAAACATGCACTTTTTAGATGAAAAATCAACATTTCCACTCGCAAATAAAATATTAATTTTTTGAAAAAATGTTATAGATCATTTTCTGCTTAGAAATCATACTTCTATTTATATTTCCGATTAAAATGGGTGCCTTCATTGACACCCCCGAGAAGGGGTGACATTCATCACCAGGGTGAAAGCACACATCGGCACTATGTAATTTTTATTTCTTGAGCAATTTTCTACTTACTGTTAAAATTTCGCGTCAATCGGTGCATGTGTCAAGAATTCAGACCTAAAAACCCCCATTTCTCCGCCTTATTTATACACCAAAGTGTCGAGCTGTAGTCATAACGTTCTATTATTGACAGTTATCATGTTGCAAATGTTTTTGATGCTCATTTACATGTTTTTAATATAATCACAAAGTATTCAAAAGGGAAACTGTTCTATTGTAATATTTATAGTAAAATCAATAAAAATAAGAATTTTTCAACTTACCGACATCCAAAATAAAAACGTACCTTATAATTTTTGTTCTTTTAGCGGGCTCTGGCAGCCGAGAGGAGGATATTAAGTCAGTCTGGAACTGTGACGGCTAGGTGTTTCTTGTGCGCGTCCGATATATCGGGAAAAGTGCCGTTTGAGTATTCGGGCAACAGATTTTGTACTATCGAGTGTTTGAAGGCGCATAGGATAAAAAACCCAGTTGTTTTGTCATGATATATTTTAAATAAATTTTTTTTTAATCGCTAGAGGAAAAAATTATTTCTGTTAAAAGAAAAAGATTACTTCTTAATGTTTCAATTTTTATTACCAAAATTAACATATAACCATCTACAACAATTATAATTATTTAATTTGTTTTTATAGAAATTGCCCCTTATATTTTTCTTTGTCACGAGTGTTGAATTAAAAAAAAAAAAAAGTTTTACCTCGGAAATCGTTTAACATAAAGAACACCTCCTGGCAATTTCTATAAGTTCGCTTGACATTAAAAAATTTCTATTTCTATTGCTCTCGAGACGGGAAAAGAATAAGCCGAGGGGTGTAAAAAAGCCTAATTTTTTTATCACAGTTTGTATAAATAACACTTTTTGATAAGCAGTTTCCTAGACGACAGAATAATAACAAAAAAACGGAACATTGAAATTTGTTCGGTAGAGAAGGTTTCCAAAAGATATACATCGATATAAAAGCCAAAATGGAAGCAATACAGGGTGGTGTTGAAGCATCGAATAAAGGTTGATGGTTGAATACCAAAATATACTTTAAATTGCATAAATAACCTTAATTTTTTTGACCCTAGAAATCGGGAGTAAAATATTCGAACTTCATTACACGTGTTTAAAACCATCGGAAGTTTTCAACGGTCGAAAATTATTCGACGTTATAGCTCGGAAACATAAAAATTCCAAGAATCAAACAAAATTTTTTAAGAAAATTTAGCGCTAGTGAAAATTTCCAAGAAAATGTAAAGCACTCAAAAAGAACATTATTGTCGAGAAGTTTTCCGATTGCACTCGCCTCTCGTGCTGAAGTAAAACCTATAATAATTGGTCCGTTAAAAATTTCCATTCAATAAAATCGGAGCTTCGTAATGGAACCATCAACACGATATATGCAGGTACTTATCCTAAACATCTTTATAGAAAAATATTTTGTGATGGTTATTCAATAAAAAGAAAACAAAAACAAAAAAATTTCAAACTATAAAAATTATATGAAATAAATAATACAAAATACTACATAAGAACCCGACTAAAACCTAGAATTTTAACAAAACGAAATGCAAATAAGTGTTTTTCGTTTCAAACACTTGGTACAGTTCTTACATAGTCAACTCATAGCTTTGGTTCAAGAAAATAACATTTAAACATAATTACCAGACTAGAACTATAATACGCCCTGTAGAATTCTTATCGATACGGACTATGGGGGAGAAATTTGCTTGGTATAAAATTCATAAGATCGTTAATCTGGTAGTTTCGGATTCATCACAGGTATCACAAAGTCTTCCATGTTGGGTATTACCATGATTTTCTGAAAATTAACAAACAGCACGAATTCAGAGATATCGTACGGAATAAACCCATTTATTTAAGTACTGTCAAATATCCACGATCTTTCCAAAACCTTTTCATCAATGAAGAATATGAGCTATTTGCCAAATTCAAAGTTATCAACTGTTGGACGAAAAACATAACCTACAAAGTATGCCGCTCTCTGACGGTAAGTAATTAACGCTAAAACAACACTAAAGCTATTCTGTTCCAGTCAGTCCCCTCAAAAAACAGCACGTGTAATCCAATGCTGGTCAGGGCATATGGTCAGCAGAGTAGTTGTTTTTTTACAATATCATTAGTTAATTTACCAATTTATTTTACCAAGCTTAAATTTTCAATTGCTTTAAATTTTTTTCTTATAACAGTCATTTTTTAATAGTATTTCCTTCCCATGGTCATTTGGATTGCGAATCAGTGAGAAACAGATAACCCCCTACCGTAAAGTCGACAACATTACTGGAATTAATGTTAAGATTTATGACTGAATCTCCTTCCTGATTTTTTATTAGTCGTTCCCATCAGTCGTAAATCCAATCTGTTCAGTAAGACCGTACCACCTACCAGACCTTTATGCTTGACAATCGGTATACAAAAAAATACTCAACAAAAATATTAAATTCAAAAACGTACAGGACATTCATGTATGTATATTTGCATATTAAATGGGAGCAGCTGTATATGAAAATGCCATGGGTCTGTTTTAGGCAATTGATTATGTTTTAAAAAGCAGGGTACTAAGGAACTACAACGTTGATGGGTTTTTATTGCATGAATCGTTCTAAAGGTTATTCAGAAAGAAAAAACCGCGGAGTGCTATTAAATTAAAGAGTGGAAATTGGAGATAGGGGTGAAAAAGCAACCCTTATGGTTTTTCAAGTATATCTCGAAAACGAAGCAAAATTTGAGGCATAGGAAAAATTTTATAGATAATGAGCTTTTCTATCGAAATGGTTTATTTAACAAATTTAAAAGAAAAATTTTATGCAAAAAATCGTTAATAAACAATTTTAAAGAAAGCAAAAAATAATTTTTTTAAAATTTTTTTTACCTTTTTAATAAAATAATTTAGTGAGAATTAAATTTTTGAGAATTTAAATAAGTACAATAAAGTTTATTAATAATGTATATACAGTGTGTCCACGGATGGAGTTGACAAGAGCAGAAACTCTTTTGTTTTTAACTTTATCAAAACATGTCACTCTTTATAAAAAGTTCTGTCCTCGAAAAAATGAGACTGTCATACAAACATTTTAGATTAGACATACGGGGTGCTCATAAATTAAAAAAACACAAAAATACTCAAGAGAGAAGTACCATTATTTATTATTTTACACATTTTTATAGAACAAATCTGTTTATAACCTCAAATAATGTCCTAATACAAATTTTAAAATCAAAATTTCAATTCTGACTTTTACTCTAATATGTGTAGCTACTTCCCACCTCAAAAATTAAAATTTTTATTTTTATAAAGTGACATTTTTCGATAAAGTCAAAAACAAAAGAGTTTCTCCTCTTGTCAACTCCATCCGTGGACACACTGTATATACATTATTAATAAACTTTATTGTACTTAAATTCTCAAGTTTTTACTAAATTATTTTATTAAAAAAGTAAAAAAAAAAATAATTTTTTGCTTTCTTTAAAATTGTTTCTTAATGATTTTTTGCATAAAATTTTCCTTTTACATTTTTTAAAAAAGCCATTTCGATGGGAAATCCAATTCTCTAAATAATTTTTCCTATGAACTATACCGAAATTTTGCTTTGTTTTCGTGCTATATTTAAAAAACCGCAAAAGTGCTTTTTAACCCCTATCTTCAATTTCAACCCTCTAATTTAATAGCACCCCACGGTTTTTTCATTTTTAATGACCCTTCGAACAAGTCTTGTGATGAAAATCCTTGAACGTCTTATTTCCTTCCTTTTTTGCAAAAAATGAGAATTAAAACGTATAAGGGTAAGCACGACGAAAATCGAAAAATTGGCTAAGTTTGAGCAGCCATATATCAGTCAATTCTCATCCAAAAATACTGTACAACCTCTTTTTTAGAAGGAAATTTTATCTACTTTTTTTAGCAATGCCTATATCTATCTTTATTAAAAAAAAACTAGGCAAAAAGTAAAAAAATCAGAAAATCTAATTTTTTTCTTTCTTTAAAATTGTTTCTTAACGATTTTTTGCATAAAATTTTCCTTTTACATTTTTTAAAAAAGCCATTTCGATGGGAAATTCAATTCTCTAAATAATTTTTCCTATGAACTATACCGAAATTGCTTTGTTTTCGAGCTACAATTAGAAAAACTGAAAGGGATGCATTTTCACCCCAGCTCCAATTTCCACCCTCTAATTTAATAGCACTCCGCGTTTTTTTCATTCTTAATAGCCATTTGAACGATTCATGCAATAAAAACCCATCAACGTTGTAGTTCCATACCATATGACATAATCAATAGCCTATTTATAAAATTACAACAATGCTAGTTTATATTAAATAAATCATCTTTCCATAGTATCTACAGATTAGTAGGTCACTCGTCAGTAGGCACAAAAAAATGCCCTATACTAATAGATAGTAGGCGTTGAGTAGCAGTTACATTTAAGATTTGACATATACTTTGTAGGTCATATCTTCCAGAGCAATTTACGCCAGTAGGTACAAAGTAATGCTTTGTGCTAGTAGGCACTGGGTAGCAAAGACATTTAGATGATGTACTTTACAGGTTATAATTTACAGAGTGACCTACTCCAGTAGGTACGAAATGCTTTGTGACAGTAGGCATTAAGTAGCAATGACATTTAAGATTTGACATATACTTTTTTGGGAAAGTGGAAACAAAATAATGGTTTATGCCAGTAGGCATTGAGAAGCAATGTACTTTGTAGGTTATACAGGGTGTTTCATAATGATGTGCAAATATTTTAATAAAATGTTTAGAAACTACTTTTAGGGGGTACTTTCAATACATTTTTTCGATTTGAGCCCCCCCCCTGAGAAAATATTCGAATCCCCAAAATGGCCGAAAAAATTAGCTTTTATTTTTTTCGCGAAAACAGTAAAACTTAGAAATTTGAATTTTTGTATACGTTAACAACTAGTTGAACGATATCCATATGAGTCAAAAATAAAAATAAAGGGAATATAAAATTAAAGCAATATAATAATCGTCATTACCTGGAATTCCTGAAGCAATTTCTTCTCTATCCAGCTGGTAACTATTATATAGCTGATGTTCCTCTCTCCCACGATGGGCCTGGCNTATACAGCTCGTTGAGAAATGAGGTTAAGTTGGTCGCTATAAGCTACTCCCTACGTCCAATGTGTCAGAGCCAACTTCGACCACGTTTTTATTTGAATGCTCGTTATATTCGCATATTAAATGGGAGCAGCTGTATATGAAAACGCCATAGGTCTATTTATAAAATCACAACAACAATGCTAGTTTATATTAAATAAATCATGTTTCCATAGTATCTACAGATTAGTAGTTCACTCGCCAGTAGGCACAAAAAAATGCTCTATGCTAATAGACGGTAGGCGTTGAGTAGCAATTACATTTCAGATCTGACATATACTTTGTAGGTCATATCTTCCAGAGCAATCTACGCCAGTAGGTACAAAGTAATGCTTTGTGCTAGTAGGCATTGGGTAGCAATGACATTTAGATGATGTACTTTATAGGTTATAATTTATATAGTGACCTACTCCAGTACGTACAAAATGTTTCGACAGTAGACATTGGGTAGCAATGACATATAAGATTTGACATATACTTTGTAGGTCATATCTTCAAGCAATCTACGCCAGTAGGTACAAAGTAATGGTTTGTGCTAGTAGGCATTGGGTAGCAATGACATTTAAGATTCGACATATACTTCGTAGGTCATATCTTCCAGAGCAATCTATGCCAGTAGGTACAAAGTAATGGTTTGTGCTAGTAGGCATTGCGTAGCAATGACATTTAAGATTTGACATATACTTTGTAGGTCATATCTTCCAGAGCAATCTATGCCAGTAGGTACAAAGTAATGCTTTGTACTAGTAGGCATTGGGTAGCAATGACATTTAGATGATGTACTTTATATATAGGTTATAATTTACAGAGTGACCTACTCCAGTACGTACGAAATCCTTTGTGACAGTAGGCATTGGCCAGCAATGACATTTACAATTTGACATATACTTTTTTGGAAAAGTGGAAACAAAGTAATGCTTTGTGCCAGTAGGCATTGAGTACTTTGTAGGTTATACAGGGTGTTTCAAAATGATGTGCAAATATTTTAAGAAAATGTCTAGAAACTACTTTTAGGAGGGTACTTTCAATACATTTTTTCGATTTGAGCCCCCCCTGAGAAAATATTCAAAAAACAAAATGGCCGAAAAAATTAGCTTTCATTTCTTTTTCGAGAAAACGGTAAAACTTAGAAATTTGAACTTTGGTATACGTTAACAACTAGTTGAATGATATCTATTTGAGTCAAAAATCAAAATAAGGGGAATATAAAATTAAAGCGTTATAATTATTATATATCATTACCTGGAATTCCTGAAGCAATTTCTTCTCTATCCAACTGGTAACTATTATATAGCTGATGTTCCTCTCTCCCACGATGGGTCTGGCGGACAAAACGATCTCAGGTACCGGCCGGAAACCCACCCACACCCTGTCGCTCGGCGGAGGTGGTACGTTCAGCACCAACGTACCCATTATGGCCTTCACCTCGACCTTCAGCCGGAGATCCGTGTTCGACACCCCTGAAAACAGAAGATTAACTTCCCCGAAGGTCCACGGAAGGCAAAAAGCGCACCTTCCATAGCTTTCTTGATGTACCGGTTTTCGGTGGCCGCCTGGAAAATCTTGGATTCGGCCAGTCTGTCCACCATCTTGATGAACTTCTTGCCGGAGTTGCTGGATCCGCCCTGTATGTTTCCCGGCTCTTGCGGGATGTTGGGGATCTCCTGGGGGCCCTCCTCGTCCGAACTGCTCTCGGCCGAATCGTCCACGTCAGAGTTGTAGATCGCCGATTTCTCCAAAGACGTAGATTTTTCTGAAAAAAAAAAGTCTAATGCTAAAACAGTACAAACGATTCATACTCAATATACTGCGGGGACTAAAATGTGTAAATAATAAAACTCAGACAGATGTCACACTGTGTACACGATTAGCGAAAATAGAAATATATTGGAACACTATGCGAAATGAACAGCACATTACAATTTTCATGCAGAGAATACACTAAAAATTGTATACATACCGTACGCTTGCGGGTTCTTCAACCTCATAAGATTGAGTTTAGTCTGTAGCGTCAGAACGATCGCCCCCTCGTAAGTGACGTCCAAGTCTATCCAAAGCCCCCGGCCGTCGAGCACTGGCTTATTAGCTTTATGTATGAAGGGCGGAGTTTTTCCCAGAGACAGCTCCGGTATAAGTATCTCTTCTATGAAGTACGGTAATTTTATGGTGCAGAGCTTCCTCTGGATCCTCTCCCTGACTTTCATGGTAAAGCTCGGGTTCCGCATGCAGTCGAACAACACCCTGCCGATCAACGCGTTCACCCACAGCATCAAGTCGGACTTCGGCGGTTCCGCCGTCTTCTCGGGATCCGTTTTCTCCTTTTCTTTGGTTTGCGTCGGCTGCTTCTTAGACGGCTGAAAACGAATTAAATCGAAACGTTAGTCGTACGAGCGATATTAAGTACCTTAAAGATGCTCATGTACTTCAGATACTCCAATTCAGTCTGCGCCGCCTCGATAACGCAACCGGAAGCGGTTTCTTTTAAGTCCGCCGGGCTCAAGTCGCCGACCGCTATGCCCAGTCCCACGCCTTTGTGGGTAGCGGCGCACAGTCTCCTAAACCAGTCTTCTTTCTCTCTGTCGGTGCGGCCGAAAATGTAAATTTTTGCACCGGTCGGGCTGTCCTGAAATAAACACCTGCCGTTAGCTTCCTTGTAATAAAAAAAATACTGGAGGATCTCACCCGCGACGGCGGTGAACATATCGACCAATCCTCGGGCAAACTGTTAAAATCCTCTTCATTCTGATCGTTTGTATTGACAAGGTCTTCTTCGCCGAGAACGGATGAGGAATCTTCCACCGGTAGGTCCTATTTAAGGAAAAATTAAACAAAACACCTTTTTTTCGTCGTCAAACTTACCGAAATCTCCGCGGACGGCGTACTAGCCCTGGAATCGGATTCTAATTCAAATTCCTCGTCTTCCGTCAGTTTACTGAACCTCTGCGCCTAAAACAAATGTTATTAGATTTCGTCCGGCGACGGTACACTCATATATACATCAATTCACAAAATAAAATTACCAAAACGGGATACTCCCTCTTCCTGAACCTGCTGAAGACTTTTTTCTCTTTCTGCGCGGTAGTCTTCTCCGCCGGCTGCTTATCTTCTTTTTGCTTGTCCCCTTTATCTTCGTCACCGTCGAGCTTCGCAATCGCCTCGGGTTCGAAATTCATTTGGTCCTTCGACAGGGCGACGCAAATCGGATACTTCTTGCTCCAGTGTCTGAAGTGAAAAAGACGGAATTTGGTGAAAAACTAAAACAAACGCAGTGAAAGGTGGCAGCGACATATTCGGCATACACATAATTGTCATAATCACCAAAACTAGGTCAATTTCAGAGGTCGCTGACACTGAGATTCACAAACTAAACGCAGTGCTTTCAAAAAAATGGTAACAAATAGGTTCTTTATATTAAAAACCTGAGACGGATATAGAAAAAAGAAGTTAACGAGTTCCCGTTAGATTCGTCTCGATAAGAGAACTCCTAATTATACCTTTTTTTAGCCAGTCCTTCAGGCAAGAGGCCGATCTTCGCCCCCAAGAGGTTATATATCCTGTGATGACTGAAGTTCATCTTAATATCCGGCTCGTTCCACATCGCCCTTTTGGGAACCTTGCTCTTGGAGTGGCTTATCCTCAACAGGTTGCCCTGCAGCCTGAGGTAAACCGACTGCGTCTGCGAGATGTGGTATGTGTTCGGGTTGTACGCGTTCGGATACTCATTGACCCATCCCTTGAAATTAACGGAAAATATAAATCAAACCGTACAGTTTTCACGAGGGCAAAAGTACATTGGATGGTATGTACGAATTCACGAAGGGCATTTCTTACAATGTGGACAACAGTAAAAATGTGTCGACGTTTGTCTAAATGTTCCAGAAAATTAATAAAAAATTATTGCGCGAAACATAGGCCGATCCTGCATCACCCCACTTGATCAACGTTTTACAATGCAGTAATTAGGTCAAGTTCAGTGTGGCCACCTTCGACTTAGTTTAGTTTATTTGAATTGTTAGTAGTTTTATACGGCAATAAATTTCAAAACTATTAATCAGTCTTTAACGTTAGTGGAGGTTGTTTTAAGGATGCCACATAAATTGGAAAATTACATATATATGTTTGTGATAACAACAAATAATAACTTTCGATGCAATCAAATTTGCAGAATACTCACCTCGTACTTGGACAAGGGCTGGTACTCCTTAATGGCTTGCACCTCTACGATTTTACTCGACAAGAGTGTGTTCATAGTGGGGCTAGTCGGTTTGGTTCCAATCGGGCATATTTTCAGATAAATTTTGGTGAAGATGTAAGAGACGATAACGCCGATAGAGAGGCCAGCCAAGAAGAGCGAATAGTAGTGAATAAACAGGTAGAGAGCTATGGAGAGAAAAACGACTACCACTGACCTATAAAAAAATATATATGTACAAAATTTTTTCTGTTGATTAAAATGATAATCTTTTGGAATTAATCTTTAAACAGGTAATACACTTTACTTACATATAAGAGGAAAATGGGTGACCCTTAACCGGCGAAGGCCGCAAATCCACAAAACCCGTGGGAGCAAAGACCGTCCTCAGACCGCCTCCTTCCAAAAACGTGCTCCTGATTTCCTTGCCCGTCACTTCCCTCACGGTAAGGCCCTTCTCGTTATCCAACTCGATGTTATCAAATTTCTGAGACACAGACTTCAAAACGTCCTCTTTGTCGACCGTTTTCTTCTTCTCGCCGTCGCCTCCTTTCAGATTGTCATCTTCCAAGGCGTCCACGGCATTCTCCACATCCTCGGAATCCTCTGGCAGGGCTTGGTCTACCTTCTCCGTGTTTATGTTGTACAATTTGGACAGGTCGTTGACCTTCACGCTGCCCTCTTTGATCAACGTCTTGTTTTTGAACAGACGGAACTTCTGGGTTATAGCGGAGGTGGGCGACTTGCTCGGGACGTCTTTGTCTTCCTTCTTGTCCTTGTCTAGGGAGGGGGTATCGTCGTCGCTCGACATTTCGACACCTAACAAAAGATTCGGTTAAGAAACGAACGTTTAATTACCCCAAACGTTACGTCTACCTTCGGTTGTGGACACGATCCCGCAAGTTTTAGAGATGCTACTTTCGGACAGTTCCTCGGAATCTGACACGCTGGAATTTTCTTTACTGTCTTTGATCGTCTTAAGATCCGCTTTTTGTTTATGATGCGGCGATCCCTCCTCCTGATTACGCGCCTTGAAATCTGTTATTTTCTCCTCCACGCTTTTAGTGATTTTACCCTTAACACGAAACGATCAATGAAAAAATATGCTAATTTAGTAACAGTTTTTTACCTTTATGTCAGAAAAAAATCTCCAAGGATCTGAAGGTGGTGACGCGTCTAATTGTCCTTGAGAGACGTCTACGCTTGTAGACCTTTTCACAAGTCTAGGAAGATATCGCAAAGGACTGCTATCCGCCTCGCCTGAAAATTGGGACATTTCTACTTTCGTTCAATGAAAACCGGAGAAAAAAGCGCAAAACACTAGATACGGTTCGTAAAACCAACACCGAAGATAATCTTGCTACTTAATCACTGTTTGTTTGTCGTAGATATATCTTTATTAAGCTGCTTAAAAACTTTTAGGATTATAAAATATTACGCAATTTCCGCAACTTAGTGTGGCACAAACAACATTTATTCCAAAATTTTGTTAAAAAAGCATTTCACACTGACCTGCATTGGATGGACTGCTAGAAAGCAGCGGTGGTTTCTCGATTTTATCGGCGCTGGTATTCGCTTCATCTTCGCTCATGTACAGTTCTTCTATTTGTTCCACGTTTGCATGAAATTTTATGGATATCGAGGGAACGGAAGTGGTAACTGGTTTACCTGAAATATAGAACCCCTAAATATTATTTGATGAGAATGATGGTGACGGTGAAATTTCTCGTCTAGAAGCTTCTATCTATAAATTAATAAACAAACTTTGACGGTTACCTGAATGCCCATCATGATCATGCCCTGAAATTTGCCTAATAAAATTCTTGACAGACCCAGCCATTTGATAAATAACGATGTACTGCCGCTACTATCACCGAGACAATAACTGGTTTCTAAGTACTAATTTACTTATCAAGTGATAAAGATTGTAAGCATGTTTATCCATCGGGGAACATCCAGATAATGCAACATTTAAAAATATTCATTTGTTAACAAGTTATATTCTATAAAAAAGCATTTTCTTTTTGCTTGAACGATGTTACGTAAACTGGTTAATTGGAATCAATAAAAACTTGCATGCCTTTAACAAGCCATTGTGTGCCAGCAGTACTGAACACTAATTATCTATAATTTTTAACAAACAATTGGATCAAATTTATAGACAATAGCAATATTTCATTAAATTATTTATAGAAAATCAAGAAAATCAAAATCAATCAATCACTTAATATTATTTACTAGTGTTTATTCAGACAGAATTGAAGTGTTAAGATATCTGATAAGAGAGTAAACAGAGAAAATAATTACTATTTAAAACGATAATAACAATAACTTCAAAGTGTGACAGGTTGATTTCATTCAACTGCTGCATAATTATTTCAAAATGTGATGAAACTGTCGACAACAGTAAGTTATGCGGGCTTTATATTACAAGTGTTGGTATGTAAAAAGCATCAAAATTAAAAACAAAAATTACTTATTTCGTTTTTGTGGCCACGATTTACATTGAAGCGTTATTGCTAAGTATCTAAGCGTGTAACAGTGACGGCATCAGAAAATCTACGCTCTACCTAATCGAAAAGTATGCACAACACACGACATATACCTTTTACCTTTTAGCATTCCCAAAGTAATTTTACCATGATCTTTTTTCTTGTTCATGTTACTAGCGCTAGCAAATCAAGGGTAGCGGGCCGTGAGTTTTGTTAGTTAGTCAGGTGGTCTGCAAGGAACACTGGGGACAGTTAAAGCAGCTTGCTGGAAGGGTCAAAAAGTCTGTAAACGTCCTTACTTTTGCTCGATTCCATTGTTCACGAGAAAGGCCGCCCATCAAAACCTTTTATCGATTGGGGATCATCACCACTCTAAAGACTCATCACTTCGTTTAATAATTTTGTATATCTGTATGTTTACTAATTAATTTAGGAAACCACAGCAGATTTGCGACTTCACTGATAAATTCGATTAAATTTATCTGTCACTTCGGTTGACTTAACAATCAGGACAATTACAATTGTCAAAATTCATGAGTACCACCATAGAAGGATGTAATATTATCCCTTATTTCTATATGTTGGCATAACTTTCATTGAATACAAAAATTTAAAATTAAAAAAGCGAATCAACGTCTTATTTTAAGAAAAAACGTACTGAAAACAAGCACGTAATTTCGTAAGTGTAATAAGATATTTTCGGCAACTCAGTTACATACATGTTTGGAGTAAAGACGGATCGTGGTTTGGAGTCACATGTAATGTGGAATTAAAAGTTGCGTCCACTTGGTTCCATTGTCGAATAGCATTTGTGAGTGAGGATCATCACAAATGAATACATTCGGGTCAACTATAGTGATTAACCCTGGAATTTGATAAACTTTATCGAAAACAATTTTTTGTTTATAGTCATTATCGTTTAGGTTTTTATGCAAAGAAATGCAAAGTGGTTTGCGTATTTACATTCTGAAACATCTATGGGCTAAGAAAAATTAGAAAAGAATCTCTAAAGGATGCTACAACTTGCTTTTTGAAGGAACCAGCCATATAACGCTGGAAGAGTAAGATATATATTGATTATTTATTGTAGTTGTTTTACATTGAGAAAGATACAAAAAACAATAGATGGCGCTTGTACTTCGAGTGACACGGAATAAATTGCTGAATAAATTTATACATCCATCAAAAACAATTATCACACTGCATAATTTTTCTACGAAGTAGTTATTCAAAACTTTTACGAAATTCCGGAATATTGTGGAACGCTTTTGTAGTCTTTTTTTTTAATTTTAAAAGTTCAACGGATTAATTTAGGCCACAGAATCGGTGGAAGCCGGGAAACGACCGTCATTCAAATATTACTGCAATAAAATCAGCAACTACTCGAACGCGAAGTCTTTGAAGTGGCTAGGAATGGCAAAAGGGAAAAAAACAGCAATACGCGGACTGGGCCGGTGGCATACAGCGTTTCCAGCGCGCAAAGGAGGACAAGCCTAATGAAAGATAACTTATCTCCAACCGAGATAAGATAAGCGCAGCACACAAAATGTTTCAACAATTAATTTATGGACTGTTATTCGGAAAGAGACGGTCTACGCGCTGGCGGTGATCAACATCGCGACAGGCCGAGGTGACGATTGTTTAGAAAAAGTTACTTGGCCTGATTGTTTTACATTATAAACAACGGGGTGAAAATCGATATGCACTAGTCTGTAGCCTGACGTGGTCTTTAAACTATATTGGGGCAGTTATTAGGAGGGGATTTTCCCCTTTGTAATACTACACGGATATTCTTGAATGAAACTGGTGTTGACGTAGGGACTTTTTGGGATCCTTGAATGTTTTTGGCCATCTAGTGCTGCTGTTTCGGATATCAGTTCGGAGTGGGATTCTGTAACCCCCACGTGGTTCTAGGAAGGAAGTGGTAAGATGAGATTGAATCATATCTAATTTTACAGGCGGTGTGAATATTTCGTTGTTCTCGCGTTGTTTTATTAGTTCTTTCTGACACTAAAGCTAAATTAAAAAACCATTTTAAACTATATAAAATTACATATACAAGAAACCAAGCTTTCGAAATGTATTGCCAAGAATAATTCGATATTTTATGTTATGAAAAAAAAAAATACGTGCACCGGAGATAATTCTGGAAATCTCTTGGAAAAGAAACCCCCGCTCTGCTTGCTCGTTTATTTTTAACTATACGTATTTTCAAGCCTTATCTTTCTTAAATATTTATAATAACACACTGAAGACACATCACAGTCATGGGTTTATAATTTTAATTATATTATTATGTACATATTTATCGTTTAAGATTTTTTTTAATTACATACAAAAATTATCAGATATTGCGCGTAAACCAATCGTTCTTTTATTAAATAACACGATTTTTTTTAAAGTTTTGTCTAAATCATTGGTTTAGCTTCAGCTTCACATTATCCTTATCTTGTTTGCATATACATTTTGCGGTTGAACTTATAATATTAGTAATTTTTTTAGTCGTAATACCAAATAGAGTTTCCAACAGCAAAAATGCTATGTAGGAATTATTGTTTTTTCAACAGGTACTCCTCCTGTTTTTGTTTGCAACTCGGTTATAAAAAAAAATTAAATTATCTGTACTGCCGCCGAAAATATTTCCAAACCACCATAAGATTGCGGATTGCGTCCGTTTGGTTATTTTAAATGTTATTATTTTTGTAAACTATAAGTATATACCTAATAATTATGCATATAGAAAAACATATTGAGTGTTACTTATTCACGTGTTCCATCTGGAGTAAGTTTAAAAATAAGTTACACATTTGCATATCTCAAAAGGGACGATACTCAGACCGAGACCCCATCAGTCAAGTGTGGGCTAACAGTCCCTATAACGTGTGGTATGACATTACAACATGGTCCTGCCTTCCTTTTCTTTAATTATTTTGAAGGAGAAATTGTCAGACAAATATGGAATTTTGTTTATTGAACATTCCGACTGTCTCTTATTTGACACTATTTTATTATGCCATTTGAAGCCAACGTGATCTAGCTGATTATGCTCTAGGTATCTTGTAAGTCAAAATAATCGTGTATTTTTCATGGCAGCTACGATTAATTAAGAAATTTGCGTTTTTTTGACCTTTAATGAAATCGGTTGACCCACGTATAATCGTTAAATAACAATTTTATGCTCTATCCGATGGTGCCAAAATCCAATGGCGCTCGCAAGAAAATCAGACGTTGGCTATGAAAATATAATGAGAGTAGACTTGGACAATTTCTGAATTTTCCAATAGATATGTCGACATGGGCGTAGCTAGAGGGGAGCAGGAGTGTTCAAGGTCCGCCCCAGACAGTCCGGCGTCCACCCCAGAAAAAAAAAAAGATCTAATAATATAATCTGTCTCATATCGGTAAGTCGCTGACTGCGCCACCTCTTTTTAGAATAAAACGAAAAAGAGTTTTGAAATCGGAGAGTCGTTGATTGCCTGTTTCCTTTTTTTTTTTTGAGGCCTCCGTAGAGCTTGCAGCAGGGACCCACCCCAAGAAAAAATCCTAGCTACGCCCATGTATGTAAAGCATATAGACTTACGTTTGTACAGGATTGCAATTTTCTCATGTTCTTACTATTAAGATATCTGAATCGAACAAGATATGGGCAAGTGTACTAAATGGTGATCAGAAAAGCAATAAGCATAAAAATTATGTAACAAACAT